CCCCCCCCTCCCCGCGGGGTCGCCCCCTTAAGAAAATAAACAAAAAAAAAAAAAAAAAAAGATAATAAATCCCTGTTTTCTTGGATCCGGGTACCACGCTGGCCCCGGGGGAAACCTGAGTGATTCTCTAAGCCATATGCGACTTGCTCTAGCCTAGGACAGGGATGGTCACAGAGCTCGTATCCCCAAGCTGAGTTGCAAGGCAGAGTACACAGAGAAGATCCTGTCTCCCTGGTCCGTAACCTACTTAGATGCTTTGGCTATTATTCAATTATTTTTTTTTCCTTTTTTTTTTTTCTTTTTTTTCCCGTTTTACTTTTGTAAACAACGATCAAGGAGAATACTGAGAGAAAAACGGAAAGATTTACAGAGGTATTTACACACACACTAGACATCTAGCAGAAAAAAATCACCAAACCCTTAAACTGGGGGCAAAGGGGGGAAGTCCTACATGATTTTAAGACAGATACAAGAATTAGGGGGGAGGGCGTTTTCCCCGAGGGGCCGGGGGAAGGCCAACAGCCCCCCCGCAACGCGGCGGTGGTGGGACCGAGGCCCAGGCTTAGACACGCAGCCCAGTGCGCTCTATTGCATTTACCCCGTTTCAGACAAAAGCCGTTTTTTCCTGAAGCAGTTTTTGTATAGATCCCGTTGCTAGTCAAGAACTAAAAAGTCCTTCCCCGCCCCCACCCTCCCAAAGAAGAGACCACCACCTCACCATAAAAACTACTGGAGCAGGGCAGGCAGGTGGCTGGGGAGCCGCTCTCCATCCCCTCCCCTGGTGCCTGCGTGCCAGGACCTGGAGAATTTGGATGTTTCCAGGCTGGACCTGATTAAATTCACCCAGAAGCACGACCACCTATAGTGTTTTGACAACTCTCAGAGGTGAGCAAGGTCCCTGAAGGTAGAAAAGGGCAATATCGTGCCCGTCTTTAAAAATAGAGGACCCAACTAATTAAGGGACACGCTCAGCCATCAGATATGGTGGAAGTAGGACTCACCATGCTGAGTTCCTCTTCCTACCTGGCTTCTGGCAGCCTTGGCAAATCCCCCCGGTGGCCTCCACCGGCAAGGATGGAGTAGGTGCTCCCCATCTTTTCCAGCCCTGCTCTACATCTAAACCTATCGCTACCTAAAAACCAGCAGAAATGACGCCCACGTCCTGACACGCCAGCACGGCGAGATGCCCTCCCTGGGAAGGCTCCAGCCAGCCCTTGGGCTGCAAAGCGGAGTGTTAATGCCCCAAAACCAGGGATACAGAGTTTCCTCTCAAAACCAGGGACCCAGAGTTCGGGGGAAACCGGGATGGGAGGAGAAAGATGGAGCAGTTGCACCTCCCTTGGACTTGGGTCCGCCTTGGCACCAGGTCCCTGGTCCCAGGAGGTCCCAGGCAGCCAGCCAGCCCTTTGTGGGGACACAACACCCTCTCCAGCCACTGTCTGCTCTTGCCACGTCCCCCTGAATGGGCTGGGACCCCCATCCTGGCTTCCTGACCCCCAGCCACACGGCACCAGCCTGCTGGGAGCCCGTGTGACATCTCAGCTCTTGGATAACGGGAGGACTTGGGCATGGGGCAGACTGGAGCGTTCCCATCAGGAGGGCAGGGAGGGGACGTCTGAGCGTAAACAGCAGAGAGAAATGGAGGACAGTCCTCAAAAGCCACCAGGCTGGGAGAAAAATCTGGAGTTGGGGAGCCGAGACGGGCTCTAGCAGCTGTTCCCTGCCCCGTGGCACGGCCTGGCTTCTCCATCCCCACCCACGGATCTGCAGACCCAAATTCCTCCTCAGTCCGCGGGGAAGGGAAAAAAGAGACCCTATTAAAAATACAGTTCAAAAAGAAAACAAATCCCAAGCATACCAAAAAATAGAACCAAACCACAACTGAAAAGCTCGACAACACGTCAGTCCACCTAGAGAACATCCAGTGAGGTAGATCTACACTTCGACACGAGCTTCGTCACGTCTTTGTGCTGTTAGAAAAATCCCTCCTCTCTGTCCAGCACTGGGCTTTTTACAGAGGCTTTTTATCCCTGAGATTGCTCGAATACCTGAGAATAAGTTGCAGGAATTACGTCCTTTCTCTTTTTTTTTTTTTCTTTTTTTTTTTTCCCTCTTTTCTTAAAGATTAAAATATACAAAAATACAAAAACGGAATATTTATATTAAAAAAAAAAACAAAAAAAAAAAAAAGAAAAAAAAAACCAAACCAAAACCCAAAACAAAGACGACAAACAAACCCAAAGATACGTCATTCACGCACGTCCTAGTGCAGGTTTCACTTGGCGTTGGCTTGGGCACGGCCTGGGGGGGGCTGCCCCCGGGAGAAGGGCTGTCCACGGGGGGGGCCAATAAATAAAGGCAAGACTTGGGGGGGCCCGGTGGGGAGGGAGGGAGGACGGCAGGCGTTAGCCACCCAGGGCACCCTTTTCCTCTGCCCCCGGGGAGGCTCAAGCCCAGGAGCTATCGGTTTGGGATGGGCAGGAGGAGCAGAGGAGTGGTTTTTGTCCTGCGTGGGTTGAATCCATGGGTGGGAAGACCCCCCCAGGCTGGATTGGTGTGAGCAGCCCCCGGGTGGGTTGCAGACACGGCTTCCAAGGGAAATGCTGCTGGCAACATCCCCGGGACCTGGCTCTACCCCGTGTTTTGGTGCTCGAGGTTTAACAAAGAGCATTTCTCCTCCATGAAGCCCTCCTGCTCCCCGTTTCAGAGGCCGGGAGAAGCCTTAGAGGGGAAGAGCTGGCTGCGTAGGACACCTTGTGCTCTCTGGGCTGATGTTTGGGAAGGCTTAGGGGGGAAAAAGAAAAAAAAAAAGTGTTTTTCTTTTGACTTGATCTCCCCCAAGCCGCAGCTCACAGCCCACGAGCAGGCAGCGAGCGTTAGCCCCAGCCCTGAGAAGCGCCCCATTTCCTTCCAGACTGAGCCCAAATCTGGGCTCTGCTGGTTCCAGCAATGGGGCGACCACAGCAAAACTGCAAATTTTGGCACCGAGCTGCAAGTGAGAAGCTGGAAGGGGAGCAGAGGGACCCACGGGGCCGGCCCACGGGCATCTCCCCGGTGCTCTGCAGCCAGCCTTTCCCCCCTGGGGCAGAGAGGGTCGGGGCAGGGGCAGGAACGTGTCCCCACGTGGCTCATCCAGGCTGTGCCGGAGCCCTGTTGGAGCTCAGGAGCCATGAGCTCTTCCCTGAGATGTTGCTTCTCTGCTCCTCCTCCCAGATACACTATTGCCTGGCTTCGTTTAGGAAAAAAAATTAAAGATGAATCAAATATGGTGGGGTTTTTTGGGTTTTTTTGGACAGAAGAGGTATGTTGGGTGCTGCCTCTCCCCGTTTTTGGAGCGAGCCATCCCGATTAAAGCAGGGCTTTCCCTGGGCTGAGAAAAGGGGGAAAAAGGTCTGTGCAGGGACGCCGGGTCCCTGCCGTTAGCGCTGCCGCCGTCTTCCCTCCCCAATCCTTCACCCTGCCCTCCCTCCTCCGAGCCCCCCGCGCCTGCCCATTGCCTTGCCAAAGCCTTTTCATCCCGGTGGAAGCCCCCCCTCCTCCCCCCCCCACCCCCGTCATCATTCCCGGGTTTCGGGGAGGAGGGCCGAGCTGTGCATGTCCTCCTCCTCTCGGAAGTAGGCAGGTTTTCCCTGGGAGCTGGGGGACTGCTGTGCTTTCGCGGGGCAGTTGGCGACCATGTGGCTGATGCTCTGGCAGAAGTGGCATTTCTTGGGCTGCGCACCCTGCCCTCCCTCCTCCGAGCCCCCCGCGCCTGCCCATTGCCTTGCCAAAGCCTTTTCATCCCGGTGGAAGCCCCCCCTCCTCCCCCCCCCACCCCCGTCATCATTCCCGGGTTTCGGGGAGGAGGGCCGAGCTGTGCATGTCCTCCTCCTCTCGGAAGTAGGCAGGTTTTCCCTGGGAGCTGGGGGACTGCTGTGCTTTCGCGGGGCAGTTGGCGACCATGTGGCTGATGCTCTGGCAGAAGTGGCATTTCTTGGGCTGCGGCGGGAGCTTGCACTCTTTGGCATGGTGGTCCAGCCCGCCACAGTTGTAGCATCTGCCAGGGGTTGGGGGGTGGGAAGGGGGAGGCAAGGAAAGAGATTCGAGGAGGAGAAACAAAATAAGGAGGGGTGCCGAAGGGGCTCAACATGGGATCCATCTGCTTTTGCAACTGGAACTGGGCTTAAAATGGCCTGGCCGCTGCGGGGATGGCTCTTTGGGGGTGGATGGTGGCCCTGGGTTTGGTCCCCTCGGAGCCCCAGCTCCAGCATGGCCAGTTTGGAGCTGGCTCAGTGGTGCTGCAGGTACCCAGGAGATGGCAGCAAACCCCCACACCGAAACCAAGGGACAAAAATCGGGGACTTCAGGGGGTTTTCACTCCTCTGGCTCCATCAGGGTTCTGCCTCCTGTGCCTACAGTCCCTGTGGCCAGGGTTGCAAGAGCAGGAGGCAGAGCAGGAACAGGCAATTGGACAACTGGCAGCCCCAGCCAGGAGAATGGCCACAGGGACCCTGGCCATGGGTGTGGGGACAACCCCAAATGTGGCTTCTCTCAGGGCTGTAACCCTAAAGTGCCCCCTTTGCACCAGAGCGGTGCGGGCAAGAGGGAGCTGCCTTGTGTCCATTTTAAATCCTGCATCTAAGATGGCCACAACCCTTTGCTCTTTCCTTTAGCAGTTTCTTTTCCAACCAATTTGAAAGCCCGTTTGCAGGAGCAGGCGGGGAGGGGAGCGTCTGCTGGGAGAGCTGGGACAAGGCATCCCCGGGCAGCCGGGATGGAGAGGATGGGAGAGGAGAGGAGGGGGATGAAGAGCTGGCCAGAAACTCGCCCCGGGGCTCCCAGCCTCACCGTGGGAGATGCTGCCAGGACGTCCGGCCATTTCCTTCCCACAAGGAAGGGTTTCTCTTGGAGAAAATTACCCCTGCCCAGTGTGGCAACCCCAGAGGAGGGGAACGGCCGCCTGGGGTGTCCCCGACCTCTGCCCTTTGGCTGCTGCTTTGCTGCCCTTTCCCCACCAAGCGGCATCTGCCACTCATTAACTGCCCAAGGAAAGCCACTTTCCCAGAGGAAGGGTCGCTGCCCACCCCTCCGCATCCCAACCCATCCCCACGCCGTGGGCAGGATCCTGGGCAGCTCCTGGTGCCCACCAGAGCTCGGTTCTTGCCCCAGATCGGTCCCCAACCCCCCCTTACCGGTCTCCTTTCGATCTGCGTTTCTGGAGGCTCTTGCCTTTGGGTCTCCTCTCGCTGCCGATGCAGAAGACGCCCCCCGGGCCGGTCACCCGGATGGACTCCAAACCTTTGGATGATTTCTTGAAGGTGAACTCCACGGCTTCGCCCTCCTTCAGGCTGCGGAAACCCTCCATGTGGAGCTTGCTCTGAGGAGAAGGTGGGGGGGGCACAGGGAAAGGATGGGGGTCAGCATGGAGCCGGGGTGTCCGCTGGGCACACAACAAGCCCCAGCCCAGCAAACACCTCCTGTGGCACGAGAGATGGCAACGTCCCCCTGGTTCCTGCCTCTTATAAAGGGATAGATATTGGATACAGAGCTCAGCCAGGCACCTTCAATTCCCTAAAATCCTTGGAGCCCCCTTTGATAATGCAGCTTTCAGTGAGCTGAGACACCCGGTCAAGCAGAGCTCGCTGATTTGGCAAACAAGGGGCAGCAGAGCCAGCTCTGACCCAAATTTCACCAGTATTTGCTGCAAAATGCTGTCTCTCAGCACTGTGAAACAGCCCCTTCCTCCCACCGACACCCTGGGCTGGGGAGCAAGAGCTGCTCCCACACCTCCCCGACACCCTGGGCTGGGGATGCTCATGGGGGCATCCAATAACATCATTTTTAAAAGACAAAAGGATTTTAAGTCTTCACACTGACACGTGCAACCCCGCTCGCTTCCCTGCGGAGGAGCAGGACCCGCAGGACATGGGATGAACCCCCTGCAAACACAGCAATCAGGAGGCTGGGAGCCAGCACTGCCAACCCCCTCCCTGCAGCTCATCTCGGTTCAAGCCCTTTAATTGCCTCCAGTAATTAATTAAGCAGCCATTTGGCCCTGGATCGTCACAGCTGGGAGCATCTCCCGTCCCTCCCAGTGTTGCCACACGGGTCATCACCGCGCAATCAAACTGGGGAGCTCAGAAAGGCTCAGGCTGGGGAGGAGGCTTGCGAGATGATAGAAAAATCTACTCCACTTTTATGAGATTTGTCACTTTTTAGCAGAACAAACCTCTAAGGAGCTGGGCCAGGTGATGGACCCGACATCTCTCACCCCCCCCAAGCATCGCCAGGGGACCACAGCATCCCGGGCAGCGATTCCAGCAGGGCTTTGGCTCAGCTTCGTTAGCAGAGCCCCAAAACGAGCATGAGCAAAAGAATTAAGGCGGATTTAGTGGCGGAGGGAGGAGCAGCCCCAGCAGGCTGGGGATTCCCGACGGAGCCGGCGCCAACGCCTGCGCGGCTGCAGCGGGACCCTGCCTTTATGAATGGAGCATCTCCCCCATTCATGGCCCGGCCAGTTCCCGTCACGTGGGCCCCGGCCACCCATTCTTCCCACACCCGGCCGCCCCGCGCACGCTGCCTGAGGATGGGCAGGCACGGTCCATTTCCCCTCTTCCACCCAAAAAATCTCGCCCTGCAGAAACACCCCGCGTAAAAGCGGAGAGGGAAGAAAGGGAGTTGTTGGGTTTTAGGAGGAAACTCTTTTCAATGGGGTCTTGCAGGACACGTACGTGTCCGTGGGCACACGGGGGAAGTTGGAACGCAGCAGAGCTTGAGGAACAACCCTTGAGGTCCCTTTTTTTGCTGCTTTTCCCCCAGTTCTGTGTCTGGGGGCTCAGCTCCAGGTGGGACAGACCCCACGGGTTGGGTCAAGTCACCCACATCCACCCTCCCCACTTTCCTGCTGGGATGGGGTCCAGGGTGGGCCAGATCACAGAATCACAGAATCTTCTAGGTTGGAAGGGACCTTAAAGATCATCTTGTCCAACCGTCAACCCAACTGACAAAAATAGACACCCACACAACAAACAAGGAGCATCATCACTAAACCAGACCTCCCAGCACTACATCAACCCCTCTTTTGAACACCTCCAGGGATGGTGCCTCCACCACCTCCCTGGGCAGCCCATCCCAATTTCTGAATGGATCCTCAAAATCCTTTCTCTCTGAGCTGCTTCTGCTCCCAAAAGGAAGAACCGCCTGGGCAGCCCATTCCAATGGCTGAATGGATCCTCAAAATCCTTTGCTCTCTGAGCTGCTCCTGCTCCCAAAAGGAAGAGCCAAACCAGGAGCTACGAGGTCCCCAGTGACAACAAGGACATGACAGGGTCTCACAGCAACCTCTGCCCATCCAGGGCTGCTCTGGGCAGCTCCATCACCACCTACTGCTGGCAAACACCCTGCCATGGGTCAGCACAACTCCCAGACACTGCTCCCCAACCCCAACTGAGCATCACCAGGAGGATGCTGAGCATCACCCCAGCAGGGGCTCCGTGTCCAAAGCAGCTGCCAGCACAGCACAGGAGGCTCCTGGCTCAGCCTTGGCACCGCGGAGTCAGCCACTAACCCTGCCCCATCCCCAACGTGCCACCCCACTGGCATTTTTTTTGCCCCGCTCCACAGCAGCCACAGCATTGTGGGGACAAGGAGGAGCTGAGCATCGCTCTGTGGTGCAGGAGGCAGCTCTGGAGGCTGGGGGACAAGAGCCTGAGCTCCTTCTTGGGGTGTTTCCAGCCCCAGCTGGAACCCCAACTGAGCATCACCAGGAGGATGCTGAGCATCACCCCAGCAGGGGCTCCGTGTCCAAAGCAGCTGCCAGCACAGCACAGGAGGCTCCTGGCTCAGCCTTGGCACCTCAGAGTCGGCCACTAACCCTGCCCCATCCCCAACGTGCCACCCCACTGGCATTTTTTTTGCCCCGCTCCACAGCAGCCACAGCATTGTGGGGACAAGGAGGAGCTGAGCATCGCTCTGTGGTGCAGGAGGCAGCTCTGGAGGCTGGGGGACAAGAGCCTGAGCTCCTTCTTGGGGTGTTTCCAGCCCCAGCTGGCCCAGCTGTGTTTACACTGCGGAGATGAAAACTCCAAGCTCCAGGACAAAGCCGAGCCGTGGCAGGGGACACCCCAGTGCACAGGCTGCCCCCCCCCCCTTCTTCCATC